GTTAGAGAAGAGGCGAGTCTACGTTACGCGGAGGGGCGCTGGGGAGAGTCCAGTCGAGTCACGCGTCCCGGGAATCCAAGCACTGAGATGAGCTGGAGAGGCCTCGGGCGCCGGCGATCCCTGCAGGCAACGCAGCCCCTGAGAGCCAGCCGGGAACAGGGCTAGAGAAGAGGCGAGTCTACGTTACGCGGAGGGGCGCTGGGGAGAGTCCAGTCGAGTCACGCGTCCCGGGAATCCAAGCACTGAGATGAGCTGGAGAGGCCTCGGGCGCCGGCGATCCCTGCAGGCAACGCAGCCCCTGAGAGCCAGCCGGGAACAGGGCTCTGGAGCCACCGAGGAGGAGGAGGAGAAGGCGCTGGGGTAGAGACCAGACTCCCTGGACCTGCCTTTACCTTCCCCGCTGCCTCCCCATGGGTCCCTTGCAGCCCTGCGAGACTGGGAGCGTCCCAGTATGCACTGGAGCCACCTGGGAGCACAGACCGAAACGGCGCAGAGGTCCCCATACTGCCACCCTGCATCGTGGGGGTGAGGGCTGCAGAGGCAGGACTGGATTGCAGACGTGTCCCTACATGCACCCAGATGTCCCCTCCACCTAGTGTCCTCGAGGTGGCACAGGGCTACCTGCCATCAGGGACACCAGCCCCTCACGCACCTCACTTGATGAGGATCCCCGCGGGCCGGGCCTCGTCCTCGCTCATGTTCCTCAGGTTCCTCTCTGCTTCCTCTGAGGACCTAGCAGGGCAGAGGCTGGTGAGATGCAGGCCTGGGGGCTCGGCCGCTTCCCCAGGCCCTGGCAGAGGCCACAGCAGTTTGGGCACTGCCAGCTCTGCGGGGTCCCAGCAGAGGTGCAGCCCCAGGGCCGGATGCTTGCAGAGACCCTGCACACTCATCACCCCACTGCTCCCCACTTACGCCAGGAAATCCTTCACTTCCTCCACGGTTATGTCGCCGGTGGTGTCCAGCGGGTTCTCCATGCTGCTGTTGGGGGACTCGATGGGGCCGGGGGAGAAGGCCGCCTGGTGCTCCTCGGGGGACCCTGGGGGGTCAACAGGGAGGTCAGGGCTGGTGGGTGGCCACAGTGAGCCGCCAGGCCCATGCCAGCCCCCACGCAGCCCATCCGGCCCCAAAGGAGGGCCGTTGGGGTGCAGCCAGGACACGCAGCGGGGTGACCCTCCAGCCAACCCCCACAGCCAGCGCAGACGGCAAGGGACTGCCTGCGAACCCATCAGACAGACAGCCCAGCCCAGAGTGCCCACGGCCCCGCGCCCGTCCCCTCCGCGGCACCCCCGGGAAGGAGGGTCACTCACGGTCGCTGTCGGCAGGGGAGTGATTGGCCTCGGGGCTGTGCGGGACGTGGGTGCCGTTTGCCTGCGGCAGCTTCGGCGTCACCATGAAGTTGTTGCTGGAAGGAACCAGGGGGGAATGTTAGCGCCAGGTAACATGAGATACCCCCCCCACCCGGGGCAGGGCACAGACACACATGAGGGTGCTTCCCCACGCAGGGAGGGGAGGCAAACAGACCTCCCCCCCACCCTGAGCTGTTTCAAACCCACGTATCCCCCAGCGAGCCCTGCACCCTCGCAGCAGGTCCCCGGCAGAGCCCATCTCCACCCCAGCCCACCTGAGACAGGAGGTGTCCTGGAGCCTGGAGACCTCCAGGGAGCACAGCGGCTCCGTCACATTCCTGGTGCTCAGGGAGAAGCGTTCAAATTCGGATGGTGAAATCAAATAGAAACCTGGCGGAGGGACAGAGTGTGAGGGACCCCCACGTTGGGCTGCAGAGTTGGGGGAGAGCAAGGCCGAGGGGTTTGTACCGGGTGGGCAGAGCCTGGAGGCGATGTCCAGCCTGAGACAGGCATGGCCCCAGCCCCAGCGAAGTGAGCCATCAGGCCCCCACAGGGCCCCTCACCTTGGCCGTGCTTGGTGAAGACGCAGGAGGCGATGCCGCTGATGTCCTCCTTGCGGATGCAGCTGTAGTGGACCTGGGGCCGCAGGCCGGGCACCGTGAAGATGTGGATGTCGCCCAGGTTGGTGAGACAGGCCAGGCAGTTCTCCGCGTAGTCCTCGGAGGCGGCGCTGGCGAAGCTCACCAGGGCCACCTTCCGCACCCGGCACCCCTCGTGAGCCGTCAGCTTGAACTTGGTCTTGGCACTCACCTTGGGCAGCGTGAACACCTGGGGCGGGCAAGAGGAGCCAGTCGATCACCCCTGGCTGCAACACCCGGCTCCCACAGAGAACGGAAACCCTCTGGATTTCACAGGGCATCAGAACAGCCTCCCACTGCAGCAGCCCCAGAGAGGCCTCAGCAAAGGGTCGCATGTCCCCCAAGAGCCAGCATCACCCAGATGAGCAGGAGCCCTCAGGTTTCAGACGAGGTGTCTGGGCAATGCCCAGAAGTACCTCATCCCTCCTCGTCACCTCCAGCTTCCGCTTTTCTGGATCACTTTCCTGTGTCCGGTGCTCTGTGCCGAGCAGGTGGGGGCACGTTGCAGTGGCTGAGGACAGAGCCTGGCCCTATGCTTACCTTGAACTGCTCCTCTGAGGAGATGAGCATGGAGTGGCTGCCCTGCATGTCGGGGGCTTTGGCCAGGTCCCGTGAGACCTCGTAGGGCTCGGGCAGTGGGTTCCCCCGCCCATCCAGCACGGCGATGGCCACCACGGGCGCCCGGTGCATCAGCTGGATCTCTTTGCCCAGAACCGCCTCCACCGCACGCTCCGAGAACTTCTCCTGTGACGGCACCTCCAGGGCATAGGCGAACACGGACCCCGAGTTGGTCCCTGCCCACATCGTGGGGCCGTGATGGGCCGCTGCAGGGGCAGGAGGAACATCAGCAGCATGAGAAACCAGCCTCCTCACAGCACAGCACCAGTCAGGCCGGAAAGGCCCGTCTCAGGGGCGCTTTTCCCGAAGCTGCCTTGGCAGAGCAGAGACTGGGAGGTGAAGACAGCAATCCTCATACTTCAGGGCCAGCACTGCATGAGTCAGGCTGAAAACCCCTCCTGCCCCATAGGGCCACCAGCACATGGGTCCAACCATGCTGGAAAGCCCCAGCAGAAGGAGGCAGAAGGGAAGCAGCGAGCTCTGCCAGGAACAGCCACGGACGGGGTTGGGGAGTTCCCAGCCCACGCAGGGGCCGTGGGCCTTACCATCTCGGAGGAAGGTATCCGCGAAGTAGAGGCAACGCACCACCCCTGAGAGCGAGTCGTCTGCCGAGCGGGGCTCAATCCGCCTCTGCACAGGCGTCATCTCCACCTCGGGGGGCCCTGCCTGCTCAGCCAGCTGGGCATTGGCTTCCTGGACCTGGGGAGAGAAGAGGGCTCAGCCGTGGGTCCAAACCACGGCCGGCCACGGGAGAGGGTGCGGGCAGCAGGGCCAAGGGGCTGGGAGAGCCAGGTTATACCCTGCCACATCAGTGCCAGGCAGGTTTGTGCATGAGCCAGAGGGGCCTCTCGGTAATTCAGACCTCATCTTTACACACAGCCCACCAGGCTGCGAGCAAGCAGAGGGGAGCAACGGTGATCTGGCCCCATTTTGCTACACAGCAAAGGAGATCAGGGCGAGGAGCAGTGACAGCCGTGCCAGAGAGGCTGGCAGGGCACAGGGCCAGGCCCCGGGGCAGGGACAGTGCCCACCTTGCTGGACGGGCTGTTGGCATTGACCCTCTTCTTGCCCGACACCCTGCTCTTGCGGATCCGGCGGAAGGACTGCCGCAGGGATTTCTTGAGGGACTTCACGCGGGACAGGGGTCCCTCCATGGCCAGGGAGTCATTGGGGTGCAACGTACACCTGCAGGCACAGACGCTGCTTCGCACGGCTCGA